TTCTTTAACCGTTGTTGTAATGCCTAGGTGCCCTCCACAAGGACTGTTATGGAATTCCTTAAGAACATCCGGAATTCTTGACTTCGGAACTACTATTAGCTTCCGGGAACACTGGCCATCTTCATTTTCCCACACTCTATGCAAACAGCCGGATATCAGCTCTAAACTGATCCATTGTGCCCAGTATGCCTTCGCGATAGGACTTTCCGCAGCCATTTGTTCCTTACTTGGTCGTCTATTTACCTCCAAACCGTACATTAATAATTCCAGATCTGGATCTTCTTGCTGACATTTCCTTAAGGGGGGTAGGGTTTTGAAGGCAGAAAAAAAAACATGTTTCTACAGATTTTTTTTGGGCGTACGGTGAAAGTAAATTTATTTCTGATTATTGTACATTAAAGAGTTGAAATTGAACTATATTCTGTGAAATATTGGTTGAAAAATATGTAAAATTGACCGAATGGCAGCAATTCTTCGCAGGCGCCTAGTAGTGAGGTAAAGAGTAATTTGGTATTGTATGGGCTCATAGAATTCCTTAGCTCAACGTTTGCTGGACGCTAAAACTCCTTTCAGCACAATCATTTAGCTTAGGGTTCATTGTGACATCTAAATCAATGAAGTCAGTAATTGTTTCAACACTGTGATTATGTATCATATGGGCAAAGGATTGGAAAGATTTTCTAGGGAATTACATAAAGTTCCACTTATTTAAACTTAGAGACATACAGCTCGCATCGCACCACCTAACTAAATTATTTAGTTCCAGTTGCAAAAGATATCTATCTTCAATAGATTGAACTGATTTAAAGAACTTGCCATCATCTGCATACCATTATTTGAAACCATTACTGACGTGGGTGGTAAGTTCTAGCAGGTCCGGTAGAGTAGATTTTGCTTTACAAAACCCATGTTCTGAGATCGTTATAATTGATGAGCTAATTGATCTAATATAATAGCTTCGAAAATTTTGGGGATAGAACATAACTTTTCTATCGCCCTGTAATTCCCTATTGAAGATCTTCTACCCGATTTATGTAGAGGTACTATCTATGACTCTTTCCCCAAAGAAGGGAATAAATTTTGCTTTATGTCAATATAATGGATCATACAGGTAATCGCAAGCGTCTCCGGTGTTTGAGGGTGCCAATGGTCAAACCATAAATCTTGGTCAAATCATAAGACTTTTAACTCAAATATTCCCAAAGCAGACACATTAGATATTGACATCGTTCATTCCTCTCCACCAGGTATAATCAGCGACTTGTAGAGTTTTCATCTAGAGGACTTTACAATTGGCTACTCAATTCAAAGTAGCATCTGTTGGCAAGTGTGATTGTGTGCTGAATTTCAAGGCTGATATTATTATTCGTGTTCACACTTTTTTTTGCAGATGCATCTTGCTTCCCTTTCTTCACTGCAGCTCAAAATACCTCATTGTACCTACTCTTTTTCTGGCACTGCCGAAAACTAATTGCTTCGTAGGGGCATTCTGTAGGGAGTATGCTGACAGACGTTCTTTGATACACAAAGACGTGTGCTTATCTTTGGTGGGACAAGCTAGTGATTCGAGGTTGGACGCACATCTAAAAAACTGGATACTCTCGCTTTCACAACAACATCGATGTGGTTGTCGATCTGGAGACAGCCAAGTAGCTTGGTGATTTTTTTATACTGGAATCTAGTACTACAGCCTAGACAGTTGTACCAGAGATACCTTCTCTATCCAAAGCACAATTTAGACATCGCAGCGAAAGCAGTGCTCATAAATATGCTCGAGCAGCTCATAAAAAGCATCATTCCTCACATTGTTCTTCTCAATCGTCGAGCATAAACGCAAATAAGCGTTGTTTTGAAAAATTTCACTTTGGTACTGATTGTGGCGACACGTTCTTCCACCGTTGTCAATGCCAGTACTCGCCAAGAGAGTCTCTCTTCCACCACAGATCCGGCACAAATTTGGGGCTTCTTAAATGGTCTTCTCTTTTAGCTCGCCTCCAAACGGATGCTTGTTAGCTACCTGAAGAATAGTGGTTAAAGGTTAGGTAAATCAGACACTGTGAATTGTGCATTAAAGAGGCAATATCGTAAAAGGTCGGTAGTGCACACTGATACTGATTTCTACCTCAGAGTAACAAGTGGAAAACGAAAATCAAGCACACGCTAAAATGTAATGTAAAAGTTGGGAAAATCCTTCAAACTAATTGTTGTGGACATGTTGGAAGAAGTTCTTAATTGTGTCTAAATTTTCGGTTCTTCACCGGCTATAATTTTTCCTATATAAGTATTACCTGACGACTAACCCGTTGCCTAAAACTCTGAATTAACAACAAATCATTAATTGAATTGATGGATCCTGTTTCATTGGTGGAAAGATTAGGGAATAAAAGTATTTTCTTTGTTTCCCATTATTTTTTACCAGTCCTCAATAAATATATACGACTTCATCCCGAGCTTTGATTTTGTATACGTCAAAATTTACAATTTCATTTGGCACTACACATTGTAAAATTTTCGACTCCATGATAAATTTCTCGCAACTTAATTTATCATATGAAAAAAAGATAACAATGGGCACACAGCCATACATTACATGTTACATTTGGTACATTTAGTTCAGTAGGGGAAATATCTATTGTATTATAACCATTTTCAAATAGTTAAAATGACTTTAAAATTAAAATTTAAAAATTTCGATAATCGCCATACATATTCGGCCTATAGACCGTTTCTACCAATCGTAAACTCTGTGTTTGCAGTCGCTACCATGTTTAGTTGCAACCACCACTCTAAGCACTTGTCAAATTCCACATACATAACATAAGCTCACTTTAAACTCACTTTTCACAGCGTGTTTGAGTTGAGTTTACATGTTTTTCATTATTTGGGCTGAGAACAGTGACTATTTACTTAATTTTTAGCACTGTTTGACTTACTGGCAATATTGTGTGGTTGTGTGAGATTCGTAATGTGGCGGCCGCGGTAGCCGAGTGGTTAGAATTGCGTATTGACATTCAGAAGGCCCGGATTCAACTCTGGTGTCGTACCAACGTCCAAAAAGTTATGGAAAAATAATATAAATAAAAAGTTAAGCTAAATTTCAAAATTGTGTATTATAAACTTGTAGATCCCTCCATATGCTGGAAAAATATCAAGACCGAACTCCACAAGCGGCTTTCGGCCGAGCTCCTACTCCAAGCTCGGCCGAAAGCCGCTTCAGCGGTTATAAAGCGCCAATTATATACATATATAGTAAACAAAAATACATGGCAGTTCAAACACTAAACTCATTAAACACCCAGTGGAAACACTTGACAGTTCTCGTAAACTCAAAGCAAGCACAGTGTTTACGGTTGGAAGAAACCTATAACCTTTACGTTTAGATTTCAGTAAGAATGGCGAAATTAAGTTTAAATTCTTCTCCGTGTAAGCCGACTGTATTAACTCATAATATAGATTATATATTTAGAGTTTATTCTAAATGCCACTAATATTTCATTTTGTGCATCGTCGTCACTTCCGGAAGTTTAAGAATGAAACAACTTTGCTTTCAATTTGTTATGCGACGCCTTTGGTCGCCACTGCTTTCTAAAAATTATAGAAATCTAAAATCAACCGTTGTACTAGAAATAATAATATATTCTGATTCTATGGTGTGCGGGCCATGGACCATATTTTCGTTTAACGAGTACTTCCACCATATTTCATTTAACTAGTTATTTTGTTAGCATATCATTCATATTAAAGAGTTAAATTTATTATAATTTTAAATCAATATTGTTTTTTTTTTACACAAATTCAATCATATTGTTGCGAAAATACGAGGCGAATGTCAGATAAAGGAGAGAAGCCGATAACTAGTACATTCTAGAAACGATAAAACAAGAACCTTCGAGAGCGAACAACTCGATGCTTCTACGCTTTCGTCTGNTAATCAAGCGGCTAAACGACGTAGTGTATCGGATACAAACCGTTGGGAGTAAATAAATTTTTTAGGTGACTTTGGGTATCCATTAGAGCCGTGGTTAATGAGTCCTCTTCCAAACCAACCAAAAGGAAATCCTAAGTTCCGCTTCAATGAGGCATTATGTAAAGCCCAGTCGGGCAACTTTTTGGCGTTCTCAAAGGAACTTGCCGATGCCTATCTCAACAAAGAACTCTTTTGTACGATGCTGGGTTCACTGGTAAAATAGTTAATGCGTGCTCAGGGTTACTTAACATTCGATTAGATGACTAAATATGTGAGCTTCAGCAAAAGCTTCTAGAAAGTAGAACAAACGCTTCCATGATCGCCTGATCGCGAATTATTTCACTTTTATATCAATTTGATAAATGAAAACTACGGAATATAATTTGTAATTTCATTCTATTTTTTTATAAATTAAAAAAATGGTAACAAATTCTTCAGTCTTATTATTTTCAACATTTATACATAAGATAGTCATCAACAGATAACTCAGCAATATACATATAACATACAACGTAATTTAAATGCATAATTCATTACAGATCTCAGTATACGAGAATCACAAAAAACTCTTTTTGTGCGGATGTAAATACCACATATCATCACATTCATGTTTCTAAAAGGAGAATCTCAAAACTAATATTTATGTTCATAACTGCATTACTTCTTTAATATATATAATGAGGAATTGATCATAGTAAAGCTGATATGGAGTCAGATATAATTTCAAGAATAAAAAATTAAAACTTAAAAAGAATGTCTGGTGTATAATAGGCACACGGGTCTCCATTATTCCGCCGAAAAAGCTTCAAAAATTATATATAAGTGTTGCGTCGTGCATAATGTGTGTATTTCCTTTAATGACCAGTTACCTCTCATGCAATTGAATCAAGCTGTAATAAGTGAAACTGAAATTGAAGAGTAACACTCAATTGCAGCAAATATACGATTGGAAATTGCAGAAAATATGCAATAAAAACAATTTGATTTTTTAAATTTTAAACAATTAAAAAAGCAAGAATATCATTCAAACAAATTTTATGATTTTTTAATAGTTTTATTTTTTTTTTAAATAACAATTAAATTCTCAATTGCAACCTGTCTTGGTGAAATTGCAGTAGTTTCGCTTAAACTTTCCGAAATAGATCTGGCTGCCTCAGGCTGATTTACTGCAGCTTCAGCAAATTTTTTCGAAGACTGGGCTTGACTTTTATTTGCTTCAGCCTGCCGTCGCTGATTTGGCAATTGCATCTTGAAAACTACGTTTTCTACGATTCTGCAAAAGAGGCCTTGGTGGTGAATTTATAATGGGAGTGCTGTGTACTATCGGTGTTTCTGTTAGTAAGGGAGCTGTTATTGTTGATGGTGATTGACTCAATACTGACGGTGTCGTTGTGGGTGATAATGCTGCCCTTGTTGGTTGTATTGCATTCCTAGTACTAGTCCACTTGGGGCAGCTGCCGTTGACATCAAAAGTATAGGATCAATTGATTTCTCCATTTCTGTCAATGCTGAGAAGTGGATTGGACCGTCACCCGTACCGCTTAATCTTCGCTTCGTTCGTTTTCGTTTCGTCCGACTTTTAAGATCAGCCCAAATCTATGTAGAGAATTGCGTAAAGATCTGTTATAATCAATATATTATATTGCTGTTATAATCAATATATTATTTCAAATCAAGCATTGATTGAATTAGTTAATATTACCTTTTTTTGATGACTGGTCCATTTGAATATAACGAAACGATACCAAAATAGCTTTCGTTTGAATTTGACATGTCTCAAAGCGAGTACGCATAAAGTGAAATTCATAAAATGTGTATGTATGTACATGTACATATGTGTATAATTACACGTTAGGGGTGCACTTAAACTTAAAAATATCCTATTACTTATATATATATATGTAAGTATGTATGTACATATTATAAAATTCAAATTGCTTTTATTATATATTTATTATATATTTTTATGTGTTGTTGTAAGGGCTCCAACATATAAGATTTTGTGGTCCTTACAGTTATAATAACAAGTGATCTTCTCGCTAAACCATTTTCCCCCATTCTCCTTTGAGCATTTTACAGCATCAAACTATTTCAAGAGGATTGTGCACACTCCCACGCTCATAGTTTAACACTCTTTACCATTGCTATTTCTCAGCATTGGTAGCTTCATTTCTCTTTAGCAGCAATTGCAATAAATCAGAACATTGATACACCAACATACATATACATATATATTTATTCTCATTTGAGCTGTACCAAAACAGCTGGTGAATCTTGTTTACATATTTAGCACACAAACGAGTGCGTGCATAAAATAACCCTAAAGATACAAGAGATATTTCCTAATATCTTGCCTTCTCGACTTGCTGCTAAATGTGCAACTCCCACCACCTTAATTCTGCCAAGATTTCCCAAAAATGTCAGAACAAGAACGTTTTAATATTGTACAGAAAAACAACCAATGTAAAAACTGCCTTGCTTACGACCATGAAGCCAAAGACTGTAAGAACAACTGTGCGAAATGCCAACAAAGGTATCATACTCTACTGCATATACATATGTACATATTAAACCACATGCTCAACGTACCAGTAGCCGACCCCATGAAGCTACAGTACAACATGCATCGGCAAATTCGACAATTCCCGCTCGACAGCCACAAACCAGCTCCAATCCCAACGAGCAACCGTGCTATTCAAATCATGCACATATACAGTGTTTACATTCAAACATCGAAAACAAAGTTCTTCTTCCAACAGCCGTGGTGGCAGTTGAACATGAAGGGGAAATATTTCAATTAAAATCAAATTTCAGTCATGGGTGGCCGAGTGTTCCAAAATTCCTCTAAACTTTGTTCTTTGACGCTGTTGTCTTCCAAAACCAAGCAAAGAATTAAGGAACATGCATTAATATTACATTAGTTATCAAAGCTTCTTCCGACATTCCACAGATTCTAGTGGAAGAGCTGCAAAAAGTTTGCGACAATCATAAATCCCTAAATCATTTTTTACATACAGGTCCCTCACTCCAACCGGACTTCGTGTTGCTAATATAACAATGGCGCATGTACAGATACCTATTCAATGGAGACATTGAAAAAATTTATCGGCAAATCCTCATCCATGAGGACGATAAAGATTATCAGCGAATTTTGTTTCGCGAATCAGAGCATTCCCCCCATCTCTGATTATAATCTTAACACAGTGACATTCGGGGTTAATTGTGCGTCATATCTCACTATCCTTACCCTGCATCAATTACACTCCAATTTTTTGAAATTCGATAATGCTTCCACCACCAATACTCTCGGTATCCGATGAAACGCATTAACGGACAGGTTTTCATACACCATCCTGCCAATTTCAACAACAACAGCTGCGAAAAAACGGCAAATTCTGTCTTCGGTCGCATATCTTTTTGAACCGGCAGGGTGGATATCGCCAGTTATGATACGGGCAAAGATTCTACTTCTAGAACTGTGGCTCGATGGCATTGATTGGGATGAATGCGCAAGACCCACTTCAATGATAAAATGGCAACAGTTTACTCAAAACTTGCCAGCCATTTCCTACATCGAAATTTCTCAATGGCTCAATTTTACTCCGGGGCAGGATACCCAAATCCATTGGTTCTGTAACGCTTTCTGTGCAGCAATATATATGCGCTGCAGCGAATCCTCAAGCAACATCTGCCCTACTGGTTGCAAAAAGCAAAGCTGCACCGTTGAAAAAGATAAATTTTCTTCTATTAGAGCTGTGCGGAACAGTACTGTTATCAAAACTGACTGCAAATGTCCAAAACCAGCTAGGCTTAGAAACGTGAAAATATTTTTATGGTCAGACTCTGAAATAGTACTGGCATGTCTCGAAAAACCACAGTGCACATGGAAGACATACGTGTCTAATCGCACCTCCCAAATTCGGGAATATGTGTCAAGCGGAGTATGGCGCCATGTAGCAAGCGGAGTTAACCCCGCTGATCTCGGCACGCGTGGTTGCAAAGACTTAGCCAGAAATGCATTCTGGTGGCATGGACTAAAGTGGCTCATACACCACATCGACTCTTGGGCTAATTTAAAGGCACGCAGTACCTCTCCGCCAGAAAAGCGTAAAATTGAGGAATTTCATGCGCTTGAAGAAAACCTTAATTTCTTAATCGATTCTTTTCACTCCCTGAAACAACTCGCGTGACTGCGGACATGCTTCGTTTCGTGAATAATGTCCAGATAAAGTCAAAAAAGCAACAAATAACTACCATGCCACATCTAACCCATGCTGAATGCCAATTCGCAAAACTGCCTATAATCGAAGAATCGCAATCTCGCTATTTTCTCAGGGAAAAAGATGAGTTATAAAACAAAAAGCCAATTGATAAATAAAGGTCACTTCTCAACCTGAATCCGTTTCTGGATAAAAACGGACTTCTCCGCGTCAATGGCAGACTAGCGCATGCCACACTTAGGTATAATAAGCGGCACCCAATCATCATCCCAATTGCATCAAGATTTTATCAAATAGTTCTTACATGCACTGCTTCTATATTCAGAAACGCGCCTCATGCTTCCAAAGGTCAGGCAAGAATACTTCATACCGAAGCTAAAGCTAATAAAAAAAACGCGTTTTCAATGCAATGATTGCACTCTATGCAAGCAGCTAACGCGTTCCCAGCTAATGGCTGCTCTAACTACTGAGCGGTGCACAATGTTCCTACCATTTTCGGCAACTGGAGTGGACTTCGCTTGGCCATTTTTAATAAAGGCTTCAGTTTCGCGACCAAGGCAATACATCTTGTGTTATGCTCTGATCTTCCGACTGAGACATTTAGAGCAGCATTCGCCCGATTTATGGACGGAGGAGTATATCCCGCCAAAAGGATTAGCGATAATGGAAAAACGTCAAATTCTTTAACGAATGTTCAGCAGACTTTACCCGGAAGTATGCTCCCCAAGGCATCAAATTGCAATATATGCCACCCAGTGCACCATATATTAGCAGACTGTGAGAATCCACAGTCATTCATTTCAAGAAAACCGCTGCACCCCACAAATTTACATTTGAATAGTTTACGACACTTTTAATTCGAATTGAGGCTGTACTCAACCCTCGGCCACTTTCAGTTTTATCACAGGACCCAGCTGATTTCACAGCATTAACTCCGAGTCATTTCATTCAAGGCGTTCAACAATTAGCCATTCCCAAGCCAAATACGGAAACCCTCTCGTTAGTTAACCGATGGGAGAAAGTCAAAGCACTTCATCATCAATTTAGTCGCCGCTGGAAAGAGGAGCACCTCAAAGATCTGCAAAAGAAGTATAAGTGGAAATCTCCCCAAAAGGAGCCTCAAGTCGACGACTGTGTCGTATCCGAGACGACGGTCTACCGCCCACCAAGTGGCGTCTCGGACGAATAATATATGTTCATCGCGGACCTAATAATCACATACGTGTCGTAGACCTCCGCACGCAAAACGGGATTATCACGTGGCCCTCAGTAAAACTGTGCTTCAATCCAAATGAGCAACTTTCGCTCGATGCACTGCAATAAAGAGAAATTCCCCTCTCAGTCCTATACACCTGCTTTCAACTACCGATTGCTCCGTTTTTCTTCCATTTCCAGACGAAAGACGCAAATGGCAACGCGCAGTGCTGTTCCCCTCGCGCCAACGGCAGATACTCGGGACTGCTTACAGTGCACTGCAATAAAGAGAAATTCCCCTCTCAGTCCTATACACCTGCTTTCAACTACCGATTGCTCCGTTTTTCTTCCATTTCCAGACGAAAGACGCCAATGGCAACGCGCAGTGCTGTTCCCCTCGCGCCAACGGCAGATACTCGGGACTGCTTACAGTGTCGGCTGTGCCACCGCTATCACACCTTGCGCAATTCCGTTGCCTTCCGAGAAATGCGTTCTCCTCAGCGCATCGCCGCGGCCAACGCGTAAGGGTATGACTCAAGAGGGAAAGCAGATGATGCAAAAAGGCGCATCATACCATGCTGCATCCGCCAGAGTCACAATCTAGCGAGCCAGCGGCAGCAACAGCACTCGCCGAAACCAAAAAGAAGGAGAAGAAAATACGACAGCAATGTGCAACTAAGCAGCACGCAAACCAATAGCGTGCCAGAACACATCCACGTGGCCCATCGTCACGTGCCACATCGCAGCGCACCACCCAACAGCACACCGTAAGGAAGCGTAAAGGAGCAGGATTGCGCTCCATAGCGCACACGACCACAGAGGCTGCAAACAAAGAAGTTTAGCAACCGGACCACCAAAGGAGCCATAGGCGAGGAAATCCACGCCCTGCAAAAGCTGGGCGACAATTCGAGCTAACAAAAAGCCAGGTTTTAAAACTAATAGTTTCAAGTGTCCATACACCACAAAAAAAAACACATTTTCTTCAATCGGGCCGATTAGTAAAATCGGCATTACACCTAAGAAAAACCGCGGCAAGTTATTCAAGTAAATCTGATTTCTATTATTCGGGACGACTGCCAGCTCATTTGTCCACATTTTATTTTCATCTATGTATGTTGCTCCCATAGCTTGGAGCGAAAGGAAATTGGGGTATAACAAATTATTATAGAATTTGCCGTGGTTGCAACTTTACACGAATATGATACAAACAATATGAACGCAATTTCAGTAATTCACAGTTGGATTGTAATAGATTTATGTTTTTAACTTTTATGTTCACATCACAACAGTTATTCATTCCATTATATTTTTTTAATACTAACCAACACTAGTTTTTTACATTATGTTATTTCCTTATTTTCTGTACGGTTCATTCACAGATTTGCTTTGACGCTCGCTCTCTTTCTCATCTAGCAGCCAAC